TGTCATACATGGACTGAATCTTGCTGTCCATAGAATCTTTCCACTTCGCAGACTCTGGGCCTGCCATGGCTTCCTTGTAGTTGTTAGGTTCATGCAAATTTACTAGTGTACTATCACTAATAAACGTATCACCTTCACTTGTTATATGAATACCATACAACATAGGCAGAACACTAACTCTATAGGAACGTCTAAGAGGTAAGGATTCATCAATCGGTTCAACAGGAGTTTCCTCCTCATGTTGAGCACCAGCGTTAGAGGTTCCTTCATCGCTTGACTCTTAAATCTCTTCAAGATAAATTTGCCTCCCACACTCCTCTTGGCTTATGAGTTCTCACTCTCGGAAAACCCCTCTCCTCGCAACGAAGACAACATTGTCACTTGGTCTATAGAAAAGATATCCAAAGGAATTTTGTGGATAGCGGATGAAACGACACCGCTCACTAAGAGGTTCGAGCTTGTCATGAGTCTCTCGTCTTAAGAAATCCTCGCAACCCCAAACCTTGATATGTGCCAACGAGGGAGCTTTCCATGTCAATATCTTGTGAGGTGTTTTGGTAGCCATCTTAGTAGGGACTAGATTAAGGATATGGGCGGCAGTCTCTAAGTCATACCCCCAAAATGAGATAGGTAACGAAGCACGACTCATCATGGAATGAACCATGTCCAACAGAGTTCGATTACGCCTCTCAGCCACACCATTCAACTGTGGTTTCCTAGGTGGCGTCAATTGCGAAACAATTCCTCATTCCTTGAGGTAGTCATGGAATTCAAGACTAAGGTATTCACCACCTCGATCGTACCGGAGCATCTAAATTTTCCTACCCAGCTGATTCTCCACTTCTTGCTTAAACTCCTTGAACTTTTCAAAGGTTTTTGACTTATTCTTGATTAAGTAGATATACCCATATCTGTTATAATCATCGGTAAAAGTCACATAGAATCGGTTTGCATCCCTTGTGGTGGATCTAAAGGGCCCACACACATCGGTGTGTATGAGATCCAATAAACCCTCACCCCTTTCACAAGTACCAGTGAAGGGTGACTTGGTCATCTTTCCATGCAAACAAGACTCACACACGTCATTGTCCCTAAGGTCGAATGACTCCACCACTCCATCCTTTTGGAGTTGGGCTATGCTATTCTTGTTGACATGTCCAAGATGACAATACCATATACATGCTTTGTCCAAACTATTAGAAGAATCCATATGTAGCACATCATTTCCTAAGTTGTCTACAACCATCACAGTTTCATATATTCCATTACAAGGCAATGCTTCAAAATAGAAAGTACCATTAAAGAAAGAATAAATAGAACCTTTTTCATTATCAAATGAAAATATAAAGCCTTGTTTCTACAAACCATGAAAATAAATAATGTTTAATGTCATTTCTGACAAGTAACAGCAATTATTCAAATCTAAACCTAACCCACTACTAAGCACTAAAGAGTAAACTCCAATCTTGGTGACAAGCGATGCTTTCCTATTCCCCATGATGAAGTTTATCATCCCATGCTTCACATCCCTACCTCTTCTTAGACCCTGCAAATTAGAACAATGTGAAAACCGCATCCTTTATCGAGGACCCAAGACATAGCATGTGATGAGTAGTTAGAATGAATAGTATAAATACCTGCGAAGGACAACTTTATTTTCCCATCCTTGATATCTTGCATGTACTTCGGGAAGCTTCGTTTCCAATGCCCTTTGTCATGGTAATAGAAGCAATCAGCATCCTTTGGGTTGGAGGAGAGTGCAACGAGACCAACCTTGGTTCCACTAGAAGAGGTACCATCATCGGACTTTCCCTTGTGGCTCTTAGAAGGAGCCTTCCTCTTCTTACCCTTCCCTTGCCCAATAGCCAAGATAGGGGCGGTAGCAGCAGGAGTTGATGCAACAGATTTATCTTTCAAACTACTCTCAGCAGTCCTTAGCAGGCCTTGAAGCTTTGTTAGAGTGACCACCTCTTTGTTCATGTGGTAGGTCATACGAACCTTGTTGTAACAAGGAGGTAAAGAGTGTAGAATGATATTTATGACTAGCTCCTCATCGAAGTTAACATTTAACTTTAACAAGCGGTCCACATATCTCTTCATTTCTATAGGTGGGCCATGACAGAATCTCCATCCTTCATCTTGGTAGTGATCATCGCAGCGATAACCTCGTACCTTTCCTACCTCACGCTTTGATGGTACCTATCCATCAAATATTGATGCATCTCGTAGGGGTAGTAGTCCTCGTAGGAATTTTCAAGTCCAACAATCATTGTCGCGAGCATGATGCAATGAACTTTCATAGCACCTCGCTCCTAAGCATCAAACTTAGCAATCTCTTCAGAAGTAACAATGTTGGTGTCAACCTCCTTCCGCTCCTCTTCGAGAACACACTCATTATCCTCGTAGTGGGTGACCATGCGGATATTGTAGATCCAATCATTGAAGTTGGTCCCGTCAAAAATCACTCTCCCACACAAATTCATGAGTGAGATTGAGCCATCAAGGGCTGAGCCAGAAGCGTTGGATTTTGAAGTAGACATCTGAAAAGGAAAAGTGACAAAGTTTAGATTAAATAACAATCCTTATTAAAAACCCAAATGAGAAATTAAGGCTAGGACCCAACACAATTATTCACAATTTAGATTAAATAACAATCCCCTATTAAACAACTATAAGGCCTTTAAGGACCAATATGGCCCAAGAGTACCCAGCATGGCTAAAAGCCCTTAAATGTCTTACTATAATAGGTGGGCCTGAGGTCCAAACCTAAACAAGTCAAAATCCAAAGAATACTCGAGCCAATAAATCTTCTAGGTCCGCAAACTACATACACCTGACTTATATGGCTCGTATGCCCAACATATGCTTACTACAATCTAGAATCGGTGCGCTAGCCTAGTACGCGCAGCATACTCTAGAGTATGCCTGGCGTACTGGCCAGTCGGACCGACCTTGCACCCAAGTCTTAATCCATTAAGCTCTAACTTAAAAAACTTAGATTCAAGGTCATAATAGTGTCATAAATGATAAAATTGCAAACTTTATGCACTTGCATGCCTTAATGGGATTGAAACCATGAATTAATCCCTCTAACTCACTTAGGTAGTTACTAACACATGCATGATTGAGTCTCAACCTCCAAGATACATTTTTTATGAGTTAATGCACTCCCAAGAGTCAAAAGGACAGCTCAAATGGCCTAGAGTAGCCCATACTCTAAAAGACCAAGTTGTCGGACCAAAAGATGCTAAAATCTTCTCTAAGTCTAGATCTAAGTTTAGAATGAACAAGTTTCAGACTTTGTACCTTCAATATGCTAGAAATGATGCGCAAACTCTAGATCTACAAGCTCTTTATTCTCTTTTTCTTCTTCTCAAATTTCCTTCTTCTTCAAAACCACCAAATAACACCTAAAACACTCTATGTAAGCTCAAAAGTGCACTCAAGATGGATAGGGTATCGAGATTAGCACTAAAAGGCAATGGAGGCTGAAAGGGTTAAGCAATTGAAGAAGTTAAGGACCTTGAATAGGGTGAAAACCTTAAAGTTTTAGGTTTTCCCCTTGCTTGAGTACACCCATCTTACGCATGGGTACGTCCAACATACGTCGAGATCAACCCCGATGATGTGCATGTAAGGAGTAAGCCTTGTGTACCTAATGTACGCCTACCATACTCACGAACCCCTTCTCCACCTTTTATTCTAATTAAATAGGATAATAGGTTAAATTCATACCTAGCAACTCTGGCGCTACACAAATTTTTTGAAGTATTTTTCAGGGAAGTGCAGGATTAGGTCCCTATTTATTGTGGAATGATAGTCACCAAGTTGGCTCACTCTTTTCGGTATACTTGATAAGCCTGAGAAAACATTCCTCAAAAGGACGGATATCCACCCTTTGCAACAACGTTTGTTAAAAGCCGTTTGCATTATGAGGGATATGGGAAATGATACCTACTTTGTACATGTAGATGATGCAGTTGAAGTGCAAGCAGAGCTCCAGAATATGAGGCTGAGGGTAGACAATCAAGATCCTATAGATGCAACCGTAGGAGACGAATTACCCATACATCCTTACCATGTGATGGCTTGGAAATATGATTATGACATTGGTCGGGGTTTGAAGTTTGTGGTGTATTCTATGGAGGCAATGATGCATCACATGTTGATAGTACCCATGGTTGGAGCACTTGCTCACTACACTTACATTCCTACTGGGAAGGAGCAACAGGATAAGCATGGAGGTGGTATCAACATGAGTGGATCAAATCAAGAGGGCAATGTCGAGGACAATTCACTTATCCTTGATTTTTATGTTTGCTTTCTTTGTGTTTTATACTATGGTTATTTTTATTTGGTGTTTTGGGATTGAAGTGACGTAGGATAATTGTAATATTTATGCTTGGTTGTTTTTTCTCTTTATTACATGTTTTGTTTTTATTTTCCCACAAGTCATGGTATGCTAGCATTAAGTTCAAAGAGTTGATAGGAGAGAGCGATATTTTTCCCAAGAAACGTGACGAGAGCGTAAGTGAGGGGTACGACTTACGAATCAAGAAGAGTTTTTGAGTGAATTTTCGAGTTCTATAGCCATGATATCTAATGAATTTGATCTAACATCATAATAGAGGGGTATGCCACCCCGAAATTACCTTTTCTTGATTCGAAATCGCGCAGACAGAACACATGTTTTTCTAAAGATACAACAACCACGACATGGAAAAACAACACCATGGCATGGGCATGAAGAAAAAAGCATGATCCAATTCTAACTTATTCGAAGACCACGACTTGGCAGCGCGAAGTCACGACATGGGGATTCTCATATCCAAATTTCAATTGCTCGTTTCACCACTATTTGGAGTCTGTTTTCTTGGTGCATTATAATATCATTCTTGTAGCAGTCCAAACGTACTGTTTTCTAGCTATTATAGAAGATGTCAACCACACAACATTTAATTTCAACCTTGCCACTTCTATCCCAGGGGAGTTTGTTCTTTTTCCTCCCTCTTTACTTTTATGTTCTTTAATTGTGTTACGCATGTAATGGGGACATTACATGAATTATGTGTGGGGTAAGGGCTCGATAATAGGAATTCAAGCATGATGATTTAAAAACTAAAAAAAGTGCTAGATTGAAAATTCTGAAAAAACATCTTATATAGACTTTTAAAAGGGTAGAATTTTGAAATCTAGTTAAATTTTAAAATAAATAGTTATATTATTGTGTTGGGACTTAGATTTCTAGTTTTGTGTGCGACGATCTGATGTGAGCTTCGATGTTTAATTGAGCTAATATATGTTCCAGTGTAATTGTGGCTTCCCTATCCTAGTGAAATCATTGGACAAAAACATAACCTTGTATAGTTTGAGGGACATAATAATTTTACCATATATACCATAAATGTATCCAGTAAAGCTTATGTGCTGATTGCACCTTAGACTAATGCCTTTAACCAATAAGGGTTGAAGTTAAGCTCCCTCGCATAAGCATATATTTTTCTTTTTAGGTTTTTAGTTTTGAGTGAAAAAAAGAGAAATGTTAAGTGAATAAAAGCTTACAAAGATTGCATATCAAAGATATTGAAGAATGAAGTGAATTTGCCAAAAGTCAAATGAGTAGTTTATTTTATTGTATTTTTCTTTTCTAGATTATTTTTCTATATGTATGCTTCGGGGCTTAATCAAAAATTACATTTAGGTTAAGAAAGATTTCTAAGGATATATTTGGAGGGATGCATAAAATGAATGTTATTTAAAATAAGTGGAAAGTGTTATGAGGATTGTGAGTATTTAGGATTGGGAAGTACTTAGGAATAATAGACTGAAATACATGCATTGCGGTCTCGATTTAATAAGTGAGCTAAAATGGATTCTCTCGAGCGATGTTGGTAGTTGGGGTTTTGATGTGATAATATGATGATAATAAAAATCAGTTTTGGTTAGGGCAAGTAAAAGTCAAGTGTGGGGTATTTTGATATTTTCTTATTTATTCATATATTTTGTGCATTATGTTTATATTTTTAGCTTCAATTGTACTTATGTTAGGATGAAATGTGTTTTATATGTTTAAAATCTATCGTGTAGCGGCACAGACATGCTCAGGATTAAAAGGAAGAAAAATGTGCATTTGGAAGCAGGAAAAATTGGACCAAGTCAACCGAAGTCAAATTTCCATGGATTTTCAAGCCCATGGCATGGAGATCTGTAGCCACGCCATGGTGAGGAGAAGATTTGCGATCAAAGCCAACCACCTTCGAGAATACGCATGTTTAATGGTTTCCATGTCGTGGATCTAATTAGCCACAACGTGGGAGGAAATTTTTTGGAAATTATATATATATATATATATATATATATATATATATATATATATATATATATATATATATATACATATATATATATATATATATGTTGATTCTGCCTTCAACCCTACCTTATGCTTCAAGTTATTCTCGACTTTTGAAGACCAGAGACGTGTTAGGAGGCTAAAAGAGATATGATTTCATTTGAAGCTTAGTTTTGAAGTGATCTTAAGGCAACATAACTTCTAAACCCTTGTTTACTTTGTTTTTCATCCTGCTTTACAAAATGAACTTCATTCTTGATTGTTTGTTTCTAGTAGTTATGGGCTAAAAACCCTAACTTCTGTTTAGAGTAGAGGATCTTTATGACTATGTGATGGCTTATTGGAGTATGGATGGTTTCTAGTTGCTTATTTTTTATGATAGCTTGATAAAGACCCTTTTGTGTTAATGATAACTACGTTTTCTGTTTATTGCTGAGTTTTACTAAGATTAGATGATCATATGTTTTTTTATGCTTGTATCTTATGAATTTGTGATCATTAAAGTTATAAGACTAGTGTTTTGATAAAAAAGCTAGGGTTAAATAGAAAATTGGGTAAATAAATGTGAAAGCAAATATATGATGAGCATTCATGTATTAAATGATATTATTTACCATGATTTTTATTCACTAGTTCAAGTCTACCATAATTCAAATTTAACAATAGTATTCTTGTTTGTTTATCCACTTAATCAACGAATGAATGAACTTGTTTTTCTAAAGGATTAGTATTTTGATCATAAATTCTAATTAACTTAGGAATCGGTAAGAAAAAACAACATAATCTATTGCACGTTCCAAGAAATCGACTATAGGAGTAAATTGAATCGTATCTAAATAGAAGTCTCTTTAATATCTTGTGTTAAAAACTTAAGTTGATTACATTTTGTAGTTAATCTATTTTGTGATAATTTCTTTTTAAGTGGTCTGGACTTGAAAAACTAGAGAAAAACCCCTAATCACCTGCCTTAAAATTACTTAACTTTAAGTAGAATTTTTAGTCGGTAAGCATTCCCGTTCCTCCTGTGTTTGACACCCTACTTTCTTACTTTACTATTGTTCGATTAGGTACACTGCATATCGCATTTAGGTAGCTTAGATTGTTTATTTTATAAATTAAAAACTAGTATATAAATTATGTATCATCTTTATTTTATCCTTTTGATGCTTTAAACACTAAAAATGCATAAGTGGAGTTACACAGGCCGTATAATTTGTTCGGAAAATATAACACTTTTAATCTGCACGAAAGAACAAATAGTTAATTATTGTTGAGGTCTATGTTTAAGAGAATTCCCTTACAACAAATTCACCTTATATTGGTGTTTGTTTCTAGATAGATGAAGAAGAAAAAACATAAGAGAGAATGAGAAAACTAATTCATTTGGTGTAATCTAATCAGCCAAGGAGATGCAATATTTATACTATTAAAATGTAACCGATGTTATTAAACATCCTAGTTTGTAACTATTAACTAAAAGAAATAAATCGAAAAAATGTCCTTGAACTTTTCTTGTCGACTAGTGGTACATTCATGCCCATACGACGCACGTTCGCATACAAGTTCAGTAACCCTAAGCCAAACTAGCTGCATTTGAACCCCATGTATAGGCATACAAGTGAGAGCCTTTGTAACACCTATTTCTTAGAATGGTTTAACTAAAGACTTAATGTGATTAAACTTGAGTTTTTATGAAAAACTCTTTGACACAATGTAACGCAAGGATGCCCACGATGTGGCATGGCTTAAATGATTGGGTCTTCCACATCAGTCCCATGACGTGGCAAGAGAAGGGCCACGAAGTGGTAACTGTTTTTGGCCTAAGCCCATAATTTTTTGGTTTCCTCCATATTTTAGCCTCTAACCTCATATTTAAGGCATCATGTCCAACCTCCATCACCCTCAGTAACCTTGAAGCAAACCCTGATACCCTCTCCCTAATATTTGATCTTACTTTTGGTTATTTGGTGCATTTAGAAGGAAGAATAAGATTTTTTTGGTTTGGAGAACCTATTGGTAAGCTTAGAATTTCATTTCAGCAATTTTTGGACCTTTGTGAATTTTGTTTTCTAAGGTTGTTAGTTAGACTCTTCTATATCTAGGTTTATATGCTTCTTCTTCTTGTTATTGATGTTTAAGTGGTTAGATTCATTAGATTTGGCAACTTTATTGGTCACTAAGGTCCCTAGATGATTAGATGTTCCAGATCTAAAGAGTTGTATAGTTTTGAGTTTCATTCATGGGGATTTTGACACCATTTTTTTTACCAATATGAGAGAGAGAGAGAGATATTCATTGAACATGCATGTCCATAAAGTTTGGATTTTATGAGCCTTTAGAGTCCGTAAAAGCTTTCTAGAAGGTTGGAGTTGAAGAATTGATGGTTAAGGAATCAATCTATTAAGTTGTTCACAGCCAATGGTCACTATGTGGTATAAAGGGTGCCATGACATGGAAATGATGGAATCGTCTACTATTTTGTTTGGAGTTAGCCACAACATTGATACATGTATGCCACGACATGGGGATCAAGTTATCTGTGATTGAATCGTTAGATCGGGACTGAGTTGTTAGCCATGATGTGGCTATGCGTTGGCCACGACGTGGAGGTCAGCTAATGAGGATTTTTTACTTTGACTTTGACCATTGACTTATGAATTGGTTTACTTTTGGTCAATTGGCTACTTTTAGAGGGCAACCTAAGAGTTTACCTTGTGTGGTTTATTAGGAGATGCATAGCACCTGTTCATTGGATGTGAGGGATGTTAGTTGTTTTCTACACTTGTGAGGTGAGTCCTCTTACTATACTATGTAGGATGCTAGTTTCCTTTGTGATGCTTGCATGGAAGACCATGGTGTGGCCCTTGGCATGTGTATGAAAGACTAGGGTCTGTCCCGTGGCAACTGTATGAAAGACCAGGATCTGTACCCTGTCAATTGCATGTACGAGCAGGATCTGGCTCCCGACATTTGTATGTAGGATGCTACATGTCTTCGTGATACTTGCATGGAAAACCAAGATATGGCCTTGGCTCCGGTTTGTGAGACTAGGGTCTGACCCTCTACATTGCAAGGGAAGACCATGATCTGGCCCATGATAGGGACAGACTGTAAGTCTATGATATGGCTCACAGCTTTCACTATCATATGTATCGTATGTGGTATTTTGGGGAACTAACTAAGCTTAATGCTTACCGTTTTTTGGTTTAAATATTTGCAGCTACTTCTAGTTCCAAAAGGAAGGACCCAACTTGATTGCACTGCATCCCGTGATGGCTTTTTTCGTACTAATTATATAGCATAATGTTTCGAAAAAGTTTCTTATTTTGAGATTGTGGACAAGAAATGGATCGAGTAAAGGTCTTTGGATGTAAGGGAATAGATTTTAGATCTTA